GTCAGATGCCGGACCATCGGAGTTTTACTGTATTACAACGTCCATGTGAGGATCTCAGACAATATAAGGGATCCCCACAACAGCCCTGGAAAATGTATTACAATACATTTAATAGACAAGGAAACTGGACAAGGGAACAGGTAAGCACTGACTTCCTGTATAACCAAGGCACATGTGGTGCTAGCCTGTATCCATGAGTTACTAGCTGTGCTCTGCACATACTTCTGATGTTCCAGGGGGCAGGCTGGGCAGGGAGTGGACATTGGGGAAAGATGGGAAAATGAGCAAGGATATGCAAGAGGCAGGCAGTGTGAGATAGAGAAAGAAAGAGGTTTATGGAGGTAAGAAAGGGAGGATCTAAGGAGGTACGGGGCTATCCAGGATGCCTGCTTTTGGGAGATACAGCAGTTTGTGTCTGCACCAAAGCACTGGTGTTTGAAAGGCTCCCTGGCAAGCTCTTCAAGCCACTTGGCTGCTCAGCTCTGCTGCTTTGGCACTTTTATCACACCAAGCAGCAGCTTCTTTCCTTTTTTTATTTTTTAATGATTTGTTTTTGGGATGCACAGCATAACAACTTGAACCTGCAGGGAAGGGGAAGGAAATGGAGACACGCCACCTACTTTTGAGAATTTTCTTGCATTGTTTTTGAAGAATCTGTGTGAGTCAAGAATTAACAGTTTGCTTATTAGAAGTGGTTAGGAAATGATAGTTTTCCACAACCAAAAATATTGATGAAAGCAAAAAAAAAATTGCTTTCATAATATTTTTATGCAGGGGTGTAAAAAAATCAGTTTACTTACCACCTGAAAGATTTAGATAAAAACTTTTGGTTTTTCTCAAGTTATTTTGCATAAAAATAGTTCTAATGGATTTTTTCTCCTAGCTGAGAAATGTACTTTTAAATGACTAACTAAATGGCAAGTGTAGATCTAATGCTAGTTAGCACCTTTATCAGGCAGCACAAAATAAGAAATATACATGGCTGACAAACTATTTTCAAAACTTCTTATAGCTTGGCTTCTTCAAGAGAAAATATGAAAAAATGTCAAAGGATATAGAAGATATTGATGAAATTACAGAACTCACAAAGGACAAAGATTGAAGACAATGGTGGTGGGAATGCCAACTTAACCCTCTAAGCCATAAGCAATGCCTGTGGTCCAATCAGATCTTCAGCTGGAGTGCCTTAAAGTTCAACAACTGTTAAGCTTGGTTTTTAATGAATGAAAATGCTTTTTTAAGGATGAAAATATTTTACAGATTCTTCTGTATTTTAAGAGTAACTGCTGGTCAGTTTTTTATACAAATAATTCATAGTGCGTTTTTTGGTATATTTTTGCCTTTGGAACAGGCAGGTCTGGGGTATGCACATTGCAACAGGAATACCACTCCTATTCCATAAAGAGCAAAATAGAGTAACTGTTTTCAGATTATTCTGGAACAGTATCAGTCCAAGGTAATAGGCTCCTCCGTTCTGATAAGAATGAGTTTTTCTACTAATTAAATGATCTAGATGAAATCACTGCATGATGATTATTCATTCAGGACAGGGGAAAGAAAAGGCCAGTTTACTGTTTATTAGCTACATTTTGATTGCCTCACATTTCCCATCAAGTCTGAGTCTTAACGAATCCATAACATTACAGGTCGCCCATGTTATAAAATGGGCAATGCATCCTGATTTGGGAATGAAGATTCCAGACTACACCCTAATATAGAATGTCTGAATGGGAACACTGTACCAAAGTACACCACCATATTCCTTTCACTAGTGACAAAAATTAATGTTTACACTATATGGCATTTTGAAAATACTTCTAAACGAGACATGCTTTGTATGTTTTGTCTCTTTTAGAGACAGAAGATCTGAATTTGAATACCTGCTGTGGCTTGCTGTCGTTATTAAGTGCTACTGTGACAGTTTTCAAATTCTCAGTACTGTACTACAGTGGATTTAAATTTTACTTTTCTGAACTCTTGTCTTGTGCCATTTTCCATCTAACAAGGGGGAAAAAACAGGCCTATATTATTAATAAAAATAATTTCTTATACTTTTAAATGTAGATGGCATTTTTCTGTACTCCAAAAAAACAATGCTGAACTACAAACCTTTATTTGGATTCATAATCCTTACTCACAAAAGTTACCCCACAGACTACAGGCATAAGTAAGAAGATACAAGATTTTGCCTTAGTTCAGTAGCTGACAATAAGATTTGAGTGAAAGAAAATGTGTGGTGTAATATAAGGCACAGGAAAAGCTAAGTAACATGCAGCTTATCTGACAAAGAACAGTGAAAGATCTGTTCTATACTGGTGCTTGTACCACACTCCTCATCATCATGTCTAAGTGCCTTTCAGTGGTGCATTAAGCAGCATGACTATTGTCACATGCTGTTTGATCTTATATCATTGAAGAACTTTTAAATAAGTAACTTGTTTTGTACAACTTAAAATACTGTAATGGTTTTGAAAAAAGTTTTAAGAGATAAAAAGGAGATTTTATTCAGGTGGCCCTATGTTAGGCCTTTTCATTTACATAGTATTTTTCTATTTAAGTGACCTTGAATTATATACCTTTTGCTTTAACACAAAATCTTTGAATTGTAGGTTTTGAAAACTAAGAATGTCCATGTTTAAAAAACCCACACTAGGCAGGTTAGCTGAGGTAACTGAAATTTTGGCTGCCTGACTTTCATGACAAGCAGTTACCTCACTAGCACATTGCCTATTATGATAGGATTTTCTTTACACATTCTGGATTATATATAAGGTGGTTTTTGACTGAAGCAATTATTTGAAAGGTGTAAAATTGTCAAAGGGACCTAAATCCCATTTTCAAAAGATTCTTATGCACTTGGTTGTTCTGTTGATATCCAATTAGATTTTAGGCAAAGATTTTTACAAGTACCACTTTCTTCTATGAATGTGAAAATCAATGGGACCAAGGCTCCCATATCACTTAGAAGCTTTATAAAAAATTACCTGTAGCCTCCTAAGGGCCCCAAGTCACTTTTGAAAATTGGACTTAGGCTCCTAAATCACTTTTGCACTTTTGAAAATGTTTTCCTAAAGCTGTTTTTCTCAGTAATTAGTAGCCAGATAAGGCACCAATATTCCTGGCTGCTTTCAGTCTATTGAGTGTCTATTTTATAAGGTTTTTTATATTTTCATATTATATTTGAAAGTGATATGTTGAAAGACAATCTGGATCTCAAACTCAACAATTAAATACAGTTGCCACTAGTTGTTTGTAGCCAAACCGAGGTTTTAAAAAAGTTCTAAATCTAAACAATTCATTCAGGAACAAATTTCTGACTTGCAGTTAACCCTGGCTGCATCGACTTGTACATGCAACCTAAGACTGAAGATGAAAATTGGTCTCCTTCCTCAATTTTTTTTTAACAACCTAAAAAAATTATTGCAGCCATACTGTTCCTGCAAAATGTTCACATATAATTAGTGAAGTGTATTCAAAAGCCAGAGGATGGATTTAACAATGCAGTGCATGGTAAAATTTTTCATTTCATGTGCCTTTTGGTGGTACATATGATGGAAACCAGGAAGGCTGCCAGTTTTCATTGTCAGTCAGAAGTTAAATATGTAGATGACTATAGTACATCCAGGGTTTTAGGTGAGGTACCAGCTTACTCAGTAGGCAGTGAGTGATTACATTCTCTTTTCTTGACTGGGTTTTCCATTGTCCCAGAGGCAATAGGATTTTTTACTTAGCATAGAAACAGTATTGCTCTCAAAACTACAAGGAAAGCACAGAATAAATGGGCTTTTGTTCCTGTCACTTAGCCATTTCATGTTAAAAGTTTGATGGGTTTGTTTGGATTTTTATGTGTATTTTTTATTACTTAGTTAATTCCATTTTATGAAAAGTAATTTTATTGCACTTCTGGGTGCGCATAGCTTCAAAATAATGCAGAAAATGTGATGTATATTTTGTATTGTATAGAACAGTTTGGGGGGATAGTTTTTAAAACAGTGTTAAGATGTTTAATTTTATCTCTGTGTTCTTTTGAGGTGCTGGGCTTTGATTCTAATCTTGCTTCTAACAGCATAATTCAGGAGTAACTCTGAAGAAACCAAAAAGAGTTACACCATATGATACTGCTGAGAGGTCTGAATATGATTGACTGAGGTTTAGACAATATAAGCAAAGTCCTTTGTAAATCTCATAAATTCATCTCATAGAAGACTGAATGCTGCCAAGAGGGAATGTGAGATAAAGGTTTACTACAAATAATCACATACAGGACTCAGAACTAGACTGTAAACTGTGGGGCAAAGAGCATATGTTATGTGCTTGTCTATTTATGGGCAGAGGCCCTAGAGTCCTGTTGCACAAATGATAAATATTACTGTTTTGTTACAAGTCTGAATATGGAATAAGTAATAAAAGCAGGGCTTTGAAGAGTGGAAAGTACTACTAGAAGCCATTATACAAGATGCAGGTAAATAGTTCTTTGTTACAGTAGCAGAATCCTAAGGATATAATATTGCAAGGTGCTGTCAACTAGAAGTTGAGACTACTAAGAGGCTGGGTCTTAGCCTTACTGGCTTTAACCACTGGTGTAACAACACTGTTAAGCTGTTACTCTGGTAGAAGTCCTAGTTTGCAACGAGGCAGATATGTATATGAGGATGTTGCACCAGTAGCTATATTAGTGTAGCTAGTTCCCACATGCTCTCTCCACTCTAAAATTACAACTTCACAACTTCTTTTCCATCCCATTTTGGACCAATCTGTAGTCTTCCCTCTCCAACTTGACTGTTGAGTAATCCTCAGACCCTATGCTCAGCTACGTCATTCAGTATGGACCTAGCTTCTCCAGACTCAAGTTTTCCTGTAGTCACTGCTCACCCGTAACTAGATTCACACATGATGGAAAACAGCAGTCAGTGGCATTTCACAAACAACATTTGGGAGATAGGAACAACCATTTATGCCAACTTGGCCTGCCTCCTAGTAGTCACTGTCTTTATGCAGCACATCACTCCCTTATGGGAAATCCTCCAGTCCATCACTCAAGAACTAGCTAGTTTCATAAGGTTTATCTGTCATTCCTAAATTGCATATGAAATATTTTACTTTCTTCTTAACAGATTCTGGCTATATAAAACAACATTCCTAGAGCAAAGAATCAAATGAATTTAAAAGTACAACACTTATACATAAGATGAACCAAGCCTCTTTACATAAAGTTGCACCTTTATACCAGTCTGGAGATGATGTAGAATTATGAAGCCTAATTGATTAAGCTGGGTGACTCAGTCAGTATTACCACCCAGTTTTTGCACTTGAAAGAGCACCAAATGAAAATAAAGGTAAATAAAATCAAATATCAGCAAATACCACAAGTTTATCAAGCTAAACACTTCCCTATTTCACTACCTTTTAAACATAATGAACTCTAGTAATATGCTGTTCTCACTGAGAAATGCAGTTAAGATTTAAAATCTTCTATGTTGACATTTCTGCCCTCTACTAGATGTATATTTTGCACTCTGATACAGAATGCCATAGCACCTAATGTGCTGGAAGGGGTTTTTGTTTAATAATAAAAATAAAAGGAAACACTGCTTTATGGGTACTTTCAAATAAAAACTTGTTTCTGAAAAGTACATACTGTAATACTGTTGTATGTGTGACTACCAGACTGACAATCTTTACAAAACTGAGCTCAAAATATTTAAATGGACATCAGTACATTTCTCAGGTTTTTTAATATATACATTTTACAACTATTTGTGTTAGCTGTTTCACTCTTTTTTTCTGTCCTGTTTGTGTGGGACTTTCACATAATTAATTAGAAGCAGATTCAAAATGTAGGTAAATGTGTAAGCAAAACCACAAAAACTGGTAGAATAGCTATGTGGGAAAGGTAATACTTTTAACTTTAAAATAATTCAAAGTTGGCTGTGTCCCTTTAACCAGCTAGAACTGAGTGTGTATACTGTATTTCACAACACATGTTGAATTCAGGGCAGGTGAATGTAGAACTCAAGATTTTGGTCCCCTATCATCTACCTGTAGTTGTTTCTCTACTGACATCTACTGGATAGATCCTGATCCACATCTCCACACCATCCATTATTTTGTAACAATCTCCCAGCATGCAACTGATGGGTTAAAAATCAACCTTAAACCACTTTAGAAAACATAAGGGAATAATATGAGGGCCAGAGCAACACTAAGAAGTTGCTCTAGTATTAAGCTATAGATGATTATCTAAAGTACATGTTTATACTCTCAAATAGTGCAAGTCAAGAAGTGAGAATTATTTTCTCTAAAGTAGTTCTGCCATCAAATCCTGACTCTACAAACCAACAGCTTGTGTTCTACAAATTGTTCTCTGTGGCCTTGCATTTTCCTGGAGAAAAACCATCTCAGCAACATACTATCACAGCCATACAGAAAAAGTGTATGTAACCTGGCTTAAAAGATTTTTTTCCCCCCAATGACCACCAAGGATTGAGTTACATATAGCAACAGGAGAGCTGATGATCTTAATGAGCTCTCCTGGTTGCAGTTACTTACGTTGGTTGCAGTATTTGTCTTGCTATTTCCAGCAGTGAATTGCACAGGTTTCTAGCACATCACCATAACATAATATACTTTATGGTTTATTTGCTGCATAAAATAGTATTTCCTCTCATTAATGTTGTTGTACTATTTTAGCTGGGTGTCCCTTTGTCATATTATGAAATAGAGACAAAAGAACGACTGATCAAGTTTCAATGTTCTTCATACGATATTTGAATGGCTGTCTTTACTGTAACTCCCATAAACTTTAACTATATGGCTGTGTCTACACTGGCATGATTTTGCGCAAATACTTTTAACGCAAGAGTTTTTGCATTAAAGTATTTGCACAAGAGAGCGTCTATACTGGCATGTGCCTTTGCACAAAAGCTTTTAGCCATCAGGCTTTCTTGCACAAGAGGACTTATCCCTGAGCAGGAGTGTCAGAGTATTTGCACAAGAAGCACTGATTTCATATAGTAGAACGTCAGTGTTCTTGTGCAAATGCTAGCGGCCAGTGTAGACAGGCAGCAAGATTTTGCGCAAAAGCACCTGCTTTTGTGCAAAATCTTGCCAATGTAGACACAGCCTACGTGTATAAGCTTTCTTGGAATTTTTCATTTTCTATGTTATAATCCCACTGAAGAACCCAAAATTATAAATTAAGGCTTGCTGTATTAGACCAGTGCTTGAATTGTGACATTTGTGCCTCAAAGGACAGACGCAAAATGATGGTGTAATGTTACTTGCCTCTCCTTTCTTACTCTTGGTTGCTGGGAGGGAAGTTAGTATTCCTTTTTATCTGCAATCCTCTCGCTAGCTGCTTATATGATGGGGATGTGTGAGTGATTACTCATGGTCTTTTTCTGTAAGATCAGTTAGAGAATCACCAATGAAATCCATAGATTCCATGAGAGTTGCCTCTGATCTAGATAAGGTACAGGACCATAAAGACTAACAAATGTTTTTGGGCAAAAGCTACAGCCCAAGAAAGTTTATGCCCAAATAAATGCATTAGTCTTTAAGTGCCACAAGATTACTTGTTTTTTGCTGAAACAGATTTAGCACCACTGTCCCTCTGAAACTGCGTATAATTATTGCACTTAAAGAACCCCAACAGTTATTGATCTCTATAGACATGATCTTTATTCATAGTTCTGTCAGCAATGAACAATCCATAGTTCTTCACTCACACATTACAAATAGTATAAATTCAACCTTGAACTCACTCTATGCTACTTAGATATAAGGGTCAAAATGACACAGAAGACATATCAGACACCTATAACAGATGTACACATGCAAAGAATGGCTTCTCCTCTTCCCAGGAATGTTCCACTATGATCTGCAGGAAGTACTTCAAAAAACAGCTGCAAAAGCTGCCTCAAAACTAATCACTTCTGTACATCTATTAAGCTTCAGTTAAGTGTGTGTTTTATTGCAAATAAGTTGTGTATGACCGTACTCCAAATAAAAGAGCTTTACCTTTCCTTAATGCGATGGACCTGTAATATAACTGCACAGTAAAAAAAAATTCTATGAAACAGAGCCACTGGGATGTAACAATTAGTAACTCTGGGTATAATTTGTATTTTTTCTCTAGTTGTACCAAAAATGTTTAATCGACTTAATGTCAAAAATATGTTAAAGACAATATGTTGAGTTTGAAATCATAAAAAACTAACAAAGGGATTCTTTTTAAGATTAAAGAAACCAAAAAACCACAAACCTGATTGTCATACTGTGATCTCCAGTGTTGGCAGTGAATGCACAAGGTGACAGAACAGAGGCAGGATATAATATATAAAACTAGACTCCTTTCAATTAAGAATTTTTGGGGAAATGTTTTTTTAAAAAACTGGCTAACTATTCAAAACAGCCCAGCTGAATTATTTAACAATGAGAATTATCTGTGAACTTAATCTAATTACTGTCGGTTTCACTCGTAGACCCAAGTGGGTTTTTTTATAATGCATGTGCTTTTACTAGTTAGATTTACTGTAAAAGTAGTATGTACAACTAAACCCTGATCTGCTTGCACTGTAGTGACGGGACTGGTTTTAACACTGATTTTGGAGGTAAAGTTATTTTTCCACATCAGCCCAAAAGCATTCCTTGTTTTCTTTCCAAGAATATTCGCTCTCATAAATCTCCTGCAAACAAAAACAAAGAATGGGAAGTACTTTGGGAGCCTACTACATAGAAATGCTACCAATGCACACAAAATCTGCTACTAATTATACGGTACAGTTTGTAATAGGGTTTGGCAGACAAGAAAAAGAGAACACAGTCTGAGACATACAGCATCAAGCCCTGATTCTGCAATAAGTTCCAAGGAGGCACACACCTAAGGCTATGCACCAGTCCCATCCCAAAGAGAAATTGAGCATGATTTGAAGCACTGATCATCCTTTCTTAGATGCTAATCATAAACCCATTATATCCCTCTGCAATGGAAATCACAGAAGTGGCCAGCTAACAATATTAAGTGCATATACAAATATTAGACCACATGGACAGTGAGGAATGTGAAGACCAGAGATGACACTATTTGTAAGCTACAATTCACCTTTTTCCATATTGGAACTGTTGCTTTCAATGTATTGATACAGTATTGCACTGCCTCAAGAGATGCCACTCGGTGTGGAGAAGAGACGGCTACAATCACGCTTGCTTCTGTTACTGGAACTAAACTAGAGTGACAAGAATAAAACAGAGGAGTTAACTTAACATTTAGGCTACGTCTATATTGCATCCCTCTTGCGTAAAAGCCAATGCAAATGAAGTGTGGATTAGCATAGTGCTGTGCTTCATTTGCATAATTAAGGAGCAGCCGCTTTTTGCACAAGAGGCTTTTGTGCAAAAAGGAGTCGTCTACACAGCTCCTTTTTGCGCAAAAACACCATCTTGTGCAAGATCCATTCTTCCTGAAAAAAATGCAGAAAAACGGCTCTTACGCAAGAGGGGGGTTTTGTGCAAAATGGAGTTGTATAGATGGTGCCTTTTGGCACAAAAGCCTCTTGTGCAAAAAGCGGCTGCTCATTAATTTTGCAAAGGAGGCGTGGCTATATTCCACCTCACCTAATTTGCATATTTCTTGCACAAAACAGCACAGTGTAGACGTAGCATGACAGTCTGCATACCTCAATCTGATGGTAGTTTGGTCCTCTCCTAATATGCTTCTGTGTCCACACTGAATTTGTAAATATTCTTTGTTTCAAATAATATTTTTCATCTATTGTAATATATTTTGTAAAAATCAGTGAAGTTTCACATTACTATCATTCAGTAGTGCTAGACTACCTTTGCTAAGAGGTGGAGACACAACTATTTATGATACAGCTTGAACCTTTAACATCTGGGACGCTCTGCTTCAGCAACATCAGACCATGGATATTGCTGGACCAGAAAGTCCCACTGGCCAGGTTCAGAAGCGCAGCATAGGCTAGGCTGGCGTTGGGGAGCACAGCCCGCACCAGGGCTGATGGCCAAGAGCATAGCCCCTATCCGGGCTGGAAGCAGAGGGACAAGCAGCCAGGGGCACAGCTGTGGCTGGAGTCAACGGGGCCAGCGCCTGGAGGATGGAGGGGAGTGTAGCCCCAGCTAGGGTTGGAGGCAGTGGGACTGCCCATCTGGGGTTAAAGCAGCGTGGGAGAAGGAGGGCCAGACGCAGCAGGGCAGGCAGTACAAAGTGCAGGTCCAGCTGGGAGCAGAACCGAACACTTGCCCTTGTCCAGCAAATAGTGTGGTTCGGGACCACTCAGGTCCCAAGGGTGCTGAACAAGGGAGGTTCAACCTATACACTCAAATAAGACCCTGATCCTGAAGCAGGCTCCACTAGCATTAAAACCTGCATGTACCCAAAAATCTATCATATGTCATCATTTTCCAAATGATCTGCATTTTAAACTCAACAAAAAGGTAATATGCAAGTCATGGGAAAAACCCTTGAGGTCCCAGCCAGCAAACCTGGCAAATTCCTATTTTAAAGATATTCTTTTATGACTTTTGGTAAACTTGACTTAAGCTCTGTAGTGAAAAGCTTGGATTCTGTGGAACCCCAGAACAGAAGATAGAAAACACTATCCACAACTTTAGATGCACTAAAAATATAACAGATTTGTTTCAGGCGGTGAGTAGACTAAAGTAGCCATCACCACACTGGTTTGTACTTGGTTCCCGTTTTGAAAGTTTCTTTGGCAACTGAGATACCGAAAATAATTTTTTTTAAATGACTAGGCACTGCAGGACACTTTAGAAACAAGAGGTAGATTCAGTGGCAAGTAAGGATATAAATGGCTAATCAGTTAACTGGTGGCCCAGCCAGGCTGCAGCAGCCCCCTGTGGCAGTGCACTCCAGTCCAGCCAATGCAGCCCTCAACCAAGGCGGGCTTGGACAGTCCGGAGCATCCTGCTGTGCCATGGGTTGGGCATTCCAGCCCTGTTGGAGTAGCCCCTGCCCGTGGAGGGGAGCCTCTTAAGTCTGGCTGCTCTGACTCCCCCAGTTTAAGTGGTTAACCAGTTAAACATAACGTTTAGCTGATTAACTGATTAAATGGTATTTTATATCCCTAGTAGCAAGTCTCACAGCTAAGAATATACAGGTTCCTACCTACACCATATGCAAGCCCCATATTGACATTTCATTCAGATTTAGTTAAACATAGCTTGGCCATACATACCCAAGTCTGTGCTGCACTGCTATATGTCTGACTGAAGGCCATTTTTGTCTAACATCTCTGCAGATTTTCTTTATTTCAGCTTCTGCCATTGGTGCATATGCTTCATATTCTAAGTGAATAACTTTTTTCCCTGCAAAGTTATTCCTTGTAGTACCTAAAAATATAGGAATTGTTATTTACTTCTATTGTGACAATACCTGGGAGCCTGAGTCCTGGATCAGGACCCTCTCTCCCCTGTGCAAATAAAGAACAAAAATGCTCTCCACCCCAATAATGTACATCTAGACTGGCACTGTCTTGCGCAAATACTTTTAACGCAATAGTTCTTGCGTTAAAAGTATTTGCGCAAGAGAGCATCTACACTGGCATGTGTCTTTGCGCAAAAGCTGTGCTTTTGCGCAAGAGCATCCCGTGTCAGTGAAGATGCTGTCTTGCGCAAGAAAGCTCCGGTGGCCATTTTTACCATCAGGGCTTTCTTCTGCAAAAAATTCCTGTCCCTGTCTACACTGGTCTCTTGCGCAAGAGGGCTTTTTCCCGAGCGGGAGCGTCAGAGTTCTTGCGCAAGAACACCAACGATCATACATTAGATCATCAGTATTTGTGCGCAAGAACTCGCGGCCAGTTTAGATAGCTGGCAAGATTTTGCGCAAAAGCAGGTGCTTTTGTGCAAAATCTGGCCAGTGTAGACACAGCCAGTAAGAATTTCTTATTCTGGAAAAAAAAAAAAAAAATCAGTCAACTCAGTGCAATGAGCTTAAAGTGATGTTTTTATTTGTACACTAGCAATTCTTAATGTATTAAAAAGGACAGAATTTAATCCACAGATTTTACATGCTTGGAGTTACCGATGGCAAAAATATTAACTAGCACAGATCTGGCCCTATAGGTTTAGAAAGTTGCATGTGTTGTCACTACAATTGCTCATACACCATAAATAACTGTTTGGAATTTAGATGCACAATTGTACTCATTTCTGAGCACAATATGTAGGTCCTGATACCACTAACTACAAGGCTAAAATTAAATCTAAACTTTTCTGCTCTTCAGCTACTATTTTATAAAGAGGTAAATTGCATATAGGCTACAGCGTGGCATTTAGCCCAGCCCTAACTGGAATGCGGCAGCAGGACAGCCCTGGTGATCAGCTCATGGTGCTATTCTGACTACTCCACACCTCCTTTTGGTTAATTCTCCAGTGGAGAGTAACTAGTGATCCTTGTGCTTCCCCAAATATAGAGGCTGCAATTTTAGACTGATCATATCAGCAAAGAGACTCCTTAGCACTTCATTCCCTATTGCCTGAGGGCTGATCCCGATCTTACTCTAAATAAATACAATTTGCTAAATATTAGGCCTTGTCTACACTAGCATATTTTGCTGCCAAAACCTGCCATTTGGCGATAAAACAGCAAGAGCGTTTACACTGCAATGTGACTTCTGTCAGGAAAAACACCCAGTTTTGGCAATAAAAAAAACTTCCAGCTCTATAAGAGACTTTTTTCTTTTCCCCTCCCTTTATTGTGGACAAAGAGCCGGTATGGTCTCTGCTGTTTGTTTTTTCAAGAGAACTGGCTTCCACCAGTATCCTGCAATGCCTGCCCTGATGGCTGTGCTCAGTATTTTGTGATCTCTGCTGCCCTGCAGGCATGCACCTCTCCCCTTTCAAAGCTTTGGGTAATATCTCAGGGTTCTAGCTAAGTGAGCTGCTCCCTTCAAGAAACAAAAAAAAAGTACAAATCATTGGAATGCTCCTGTTCTGACCTGCTAGCAACACAGCAGCAGGAAGTCTGCTGCTGCAGGGGGTGGGTTGGAGAGACCGCTATGCTTCTTTGACATCCCTTAACAAGAGAGCTCACAGAGGTACGAGTGAATTCCAAGAAGCGCAGAGATCAGCTCTGCCTTCCCACGACTCTGAACTATGGAATGCTTACTCACTTTGTTTTGTTCTATCTGTTGACAAGGTTCTAGCAATATGTCCATGAAATGTCAACGGGAGGCAGAAAAATCAGTTTGACCGGTTTTCAGTTTTGGCAACTTTTGCATGTCCATAGCACTTTCGCCACCAAACATTTGCAGTGTAGACATAGCCCTATTGTTCTTTTCTGGAGACTGTTTTGTTAAGTAGTCTCAGAAGCACGAGGATGAACTTACAAAGTGACCTGTGCTCTACTTGCTGAGGTATATACATATCCAGGGATTTATGCTGGGAGCATTCAACTTACCTATGAACAGGGACACAGCCCCACAGCATGGAGAAACCACCAGCTCCATGATTTCATCTGTAGATAGTTTTTCATTGTTCAGTTTGATGAAATCTTTGGGCTCATTGTCACTTTCATTCATGGCTTTGCTGGATGGTAAAAGAAAACTACAGAGTTCAAGGACAGAATAATTTATTTTTCTAGTTACAATGACCATTTGGAAACTATTTTTAAATAGCCCTCGTGTCTTGAGCAAAACAAAGGCATTCTTTCAGCAGATCTCACTGATACAGTGGCAATTCCCTCAGAGACAGACACCTCCACTTTCAATAGGAACAAGAAATACCACTTACTCTGGAAAGTCTGAGGAGCAGCTTATTTAATAGCAATGTGCTAGATTCTGATCTCAGATGCACCTACATAAATCAGTGGAGTTATTCTGAATTACACTTCTGAGCAGAATTTCATGCACTGAGACTACTTGAAAGAGGCTCTTTTTGCAAAAAACGAGGAAAATTATAATTTTGTATTTCAAAATTGTTTTAAGTCATCTCTTTAGCATCTGAATTTTAAAAAGTCAGAGTGAAAAAGGTTCTTTGTTATTGTGATATTAACTAACCAGGAGGATTGGTACCTCTGCTGAAAGCCAACAACTCTCAAAGCAGATCTTAAATAACATAACATTTGAACAACTACATTAGCAAAGGGATTCAGGTGCCTAAGACACACAATTAGGAATCATTAATCTTAACAACATACCTGCTTTGCTGCTGCCAAACCTCATAGGGACCCACCCTTCCTTAGCACCTAAGTTCTTGTATTGAAAGTTCCCAGGGTACCTATTTTTCTACCCCTGTGCACATTACTGCCTCACTCGAGGTAGCTGGACACCTAAGTCCCAGAATGATGCACAAAGCAAGGGAAGACAGACATTCCTCCTCTTAACTCACCTGTGGGATCAAATCCCGTAGGTATGCTCCAACCATGACTAATACCACTGGGGGCATAATTTTAAAGGCGGAAGGACCACCCCTCATATCTTTTAGCCCAGTGATTAGTAGTGATGCTAAGAAGCGTGTAATTCATTAATCATGTAGTCGACAAATAGTTTGTTGACTACACAATCGATAAGGCTTAGCACTGCAACCACTCAGTCCCAGCTTGTGCCGGGTCCAGGCATCAACTCTCGCGGCAGCTCTGCACTATATCACTTTAAGAGGCAGAGCACGGGCATGATGGCACAGTCCTGGCTCATGATGGGTCCCAGCTTCAACCTTCTGCAACTCTAAGGGAAAAATATTTTAGGAGCAGGGCAGACAGGCAGCCTAGCTGAGTCCCAGCTAGCACTGGGTCCAGGAACTATCCCCGCTGCAGCTCCTAAAATTTATTCCTACACCAATTTACACCTCAGTGTCAACATAACAGTTGTGTACTGCCAGACATGCACATTACACCTTCTCAGAGAGTACCAGCAGAACGGGATAGTTCCGCCAATGGCTATTAACTAGGCCTGGCAGGAGGCCTCTAGACTCTGTTTGCCAGAAAATGGGAATGAGTGACAGGGGATGGATTACTTGATAATTACCTGTCTTCATTCCCACTTGGGCATCAGAAGCCAGAATTGTGGGCTAGATGCCTTTGGTCTGATCCAGTATGGCTGTTCTTATCCACAAATCACCAGACCTAAAGAAAAAGTAAAATTAAAACCAGAATTCAAGCAACGTTCCAATGCATGATTAACCCCACAGGCCACTTAGAAGAAGCAGCTACACATACCCAAGTATATTTGCATGGAGTTAGCCCCCGCTGATCGGTGGGATAATGGCAACCTCGTCACCTGACTGCAGGACCAGAAGCTGATCTCCGAGGAGCACGTATTCCTGGCAAACAGCGAAGACCACTTGATCTTGAATGGCAGCAAGTCTAAGGAAGATTGGCAGTAGAAAAAATACATTGAAGTAAAGTGTGTACATGAATTCTCATAGTTAAATGTGAACAATTCACTGGCGCACAGCCCAGAGCACCTGAGGTCAACAACATTACAATTAATGCATTTACATTTGTACTATTTCCTTTTTTTAAAAAATATCACAACAACTGTATGACGTTGGACTTGCTCTTCTCAAGTGCAAGAGCCCGTATGGAACCAAATCAATACCATTTTTAAAGATAAAAGCAAGCAATACCAAAAAAATACATACATACATACATACATAGTGAAAATGAAGATCAAATGAGTGCAGTAGAAAAGATTGATAAAGATTTATTTTTAAAAGGTAAAAATAATCATAATACCTTCCATGTATACCATGTAGCACAGCCATAGGAACATACTGTTACACAAAAGCAACTGGGTACAGTAAGACTGCCAGTGTATTAGTGATCTGTTTAGAAGCCAGTGGTGACCACTGACAGAAAGGCAAGACACAATTCTATTTTCCAACCAACGCTGGGTAGGTTATGCAATATCTCCAAAAGCTTTGGACAGTTTGCTACAGTAAAACTGGTACTCTCTGAGAAGTAATGTGATTTACTTTTCATAGGGCAAATAAAACTTGCAAACTACAGGCCACAAAATGATCAAAGTCAGTAGGTTTTGGTAACTAATCCAGTAATAGGCTGGATAGGTTAAATACATTCCAGTTTGATTACTTGCTGCTGCTACCACAAAACACAATTTGGTTTGATTTTGGGTAAGGAAAGACCTTTCTTGAACATTTAATTACAGCCTTTCAAAGTTGCAAACTTAACTGCTGCTACCAATGCCAGCCAGTTTAATGAAAAAAAAATCAGTGAAATACACTCTTTTGAACTTATTTGTACAAGAACTACATGTTCACAAATAAGATGGCATGTAGTAAAATTTAAAACAGATTTTACTACTTTACTATACCGAAAAACTGGCATACATATTTAATACAACTATATTACATTTGTAACTCCATTAACAGTTTAAAAAAAAACACCAAACTTGAGGAGCACTAGAACTGTGCTCTAGTCTAAAACTACCTTGGATGCCTTTTAACAATTTCTTCCCACAGCTGTAGAGATGTTATTTGTTGTGGTACAGAAATAGTCTCAGAGCGAACACCTGCCAATTCAGCGCTCCTGGCAAAGTACAGCGCAACAACCTGTTAAAAGACAAGTCGCCATTTATCTCCCTTCTCCTCAGTGGGTATTTATAGCCCAGGAAACGGGTCCCAAACGCATCAATTCATCCAAGAAAGGATGCTGCAGAATAAGTCTTACAATTTCCCAAAAACATCATATGCAAGTGGTCAGTGATTCTGCTCTTTCGTTTCACTTCTTCGCGTTCATGCCTGAGCTCGTTTTGGGAAGGAGACCCAAGGGAGCCCATCTCAGGCTCCCACAGCCCTTGCCTGACTCATTAGGCCCGGCTGTCAGGCTAAAGTGGGGGCTCAGTTTGGGGCCCGCCAGGAGGCGGACAGTAAAAGCGCCGTGCTCGGAGCGGGGAGGTCACGTTAGCAAGTGTCCCGCGATCATCCCCAGCCAGGGAGGCCTCTATCAGGCAGGCCACGCTTGAGCCAGGGGCTGCCCCGGGGAACAGACGGGCCAGGACAGAGCAGCTCTCACGGGACCGGGAAACGAGAAACGAGCCCCGCCGGGCTCACTGGCCCGCTTCCGTCCGCTGCGCACGCAGCCCAGTCCCGTGTAAACCCCCGCCCCGGGCCCGGCTGCAGGCTGGGCACCTCGCAGCTCATGGACGCAGCGTTGCGGGTCGGAGCCCGCTTCCCGACAGGGAGCAGCGCCTGCGCTCGGCCCGAGCTGCTACAGCTGCGTGGGGCCTGCCTCCCGCTCCCGGCCCGCCCACTGGGCTGGGGCTCCGCAGTCTGGCGGGGGCCCTGCGCTCTGCTGCAAAGAGAGAGCGGCCCGGCGCGGGCGGGTGAGGCTCCAGCCAGCCCCACAGCGGAGTCCCCGCGCTGCGCCCACCCCAAGCCGTGCGGCTCAGCCCTGCCTTGGCAATAACAGCGCCGGAGCGGCAGTGACCCCGGCGAGAGCGGGGACGTGGAGCCCAAAGGCTCCTCTGTGTCGCGAGACAGGGACCGAACCCAAAGCGCCGCTCCTAGCCTCGGGCCAGTTCCTGCTCCGGCATCTCTAGCGCGACATGCCCCAGCGCTGTTTGTCCCGCCACTCAGAGCTGGAGGCCTAGCACGGGAGAGTGGCCTTTGATCTAGGCCTAGCACGTCCTGCGGCCTGGTTTGAAATAGGTGTTTGTAGTAAAAGCGGAAAGCAGAGCCAGCAGGTACAATTCTTACCAGTAACAGACAAGCTGTCCCGGACATTAATTACAAGCTAATTAGGTTGTAAGGTCCTAAGGGCAGGGACCCTGGCTTTGAATTTGTTCTGTGACCTCCAGCACTTGACAGTGTATCAATAACCAATTTGCAACCAGGGGATCCAGACATTGTTTCAATGTATAAACATGCAGAGTAATCAAAAGTAATTGGAACGCAGATGGTCTCAAGTGTCCATAATGTGCATCACTTTTTAATACCGATTTTGTCTTGTGAGTCTTCTGCTTTGTATTTACAGTCACATAGCATCTTTTCTGATAAATACCTTGTATGGGTAAATATAACAATATATGGAACAGTTAACAATAGGGTAGTTTTTAATGGCTGACTTAAGCACAATAAACAACTTGAAGTAAGGAGGAGCCTCCACCATTATGTGAAAAGTAAAAATGCTTCAGAGACCAATAACAAATGTTCAAAAAACATAACTTGAGAAACTGCAATGTAGTAAACTTCTGGCCAGGGTGGATGATAGAGTCATCATTGTGCTTTTCACCTACATCTTTGCAGCAGCAGACTAGTATCCAAATCTTCCTCCAAATGCAAAGGCCCTATCACTTGAACAAGAGGAAAATTTCTGATACCTGTTGTTGATATGGGATTTATTATGCACATTTGATCACTTCTAATGTCATCTGGGTAACTCAATAGTATACCTCCACAGTAGCCAGATTGTTACAAAATAATATAACAATAAATATTGTGTCCTTATAAAAACAATGAGTAGTTCTGTGGCACCTTAGAGACTAGCAGAGAGAGAGAGAGAGTCATGAGCTTTTGTGGGCAAAATCCACTTCCACATAGCAGCAGCTTCCATCCAGTGATCTCCAAATATTCTATGAACGAGAAGTTTACTTCTGTACTTAATAAGATTGACACAAGACCCAGAAAGGGAAAAGAGTTCATTCCTCACTGGTAGGAAATTTAATATCAAGGTTATCAACATATTTTCTAAGAAACAGCCACAAAAGTCGCTGTTGCACAGAACAGGAATATTTTCACTTTGGTAGGGGATAAATTGATGAGTCGTTGTTCACTGCACTAAACACTGCTCCAAGAGCAGTGTTTACACATATGTCTAAAGACTTAATAAGGGAACGTTAATGGGAAACACACCACTCCATTCAGCACTCTGAAAATGTATCTTGTCACTAGCTTGCCTGTGCATTCAAAAGTCCTGTTCTGTAACTTTAAAAATTTTACTGACATCTTCCCATTATATATCACTTGCTGGATTTATCCAGCATTGCTTGGGAAACCGGAGGAACAAAATTTATGAAAGGAGAGGACCCTGAGCCAGGGGACCCCCAGAGCCACAGACCCTGGGGGCTGATGGCTCCTGGCCCACACCTGACCCTCTGAGAGCAGCAGGACCCTCCTCCCACCAGGACCGAGCAGCCAGCCCTCAGGAGAACAGTACACAGTCATGCGGCCAGTAGCAAGGGGACTTCTCTTTGCAAGGTTGGCTCAGGGATCCACCTGTCCTGCCTTGGCAAGCAGAAGCCCAGAGCTCACATCTAACCCCGATGACTGGAACCAGACACAGAAGAGCCCCACTCACAGTACGAACAGCAGCCAGCTGGCTTCACAGCAGTGCTAACGCATCAAGGGTTTAACCCAGCTCCTCCACCCTGCGCTGCAGCAGACACACAGATTCCTTCTGCTCAGATAAGCCCAGCAAGGTGAGCAGAAAGGCTGGCCAGCTTTGGTTTTGGTTTCCAGATTGGGGGCTGGCAGATGAGGAGCAACCGCAGGTGGAGAGGAGGTTACACTCGGGAGGGGAGCCCCAGCTCGCGCCCAGGGCTGCAGGGGGCAGGGTAGATGCCCAAGCCATTGTGTGCATGGGACTGGGGGCTCTGCGTGCTGGCAGGAGTGGGGGGAGAGGGTCAGTTATGTAACCTCGTGGGCAGGAGGGGGCAAGTCTCGGGAGGCTACACATGGGAGAGGTGCCCCAGCTTGCACCTGGGGCCTTAGGCACCGCAGAGGTCCAAAAGTACTTAAAACCTTCCCCTGGATGAAAGGTTATCCCATGAAAAGTTTGGTTGTAGTAGCTCTTATAGTGTCCAAGTTATTAGCGCACAAACTTACAAACATTCTCCTTTATATATTTGATTAAAGGAACAACAAGGAAGTGGCATATAAAACGGTTATGGCACTGTGATATCTTTAACCTATAGCACACATTTTATCCAATGTTTATATTGTATTTGGAGCATATATGGAACTTTTATCACTCTATTTGACTTTGCTAATTATTTCAGTATATACAGACATGAAAAGATTGGCCATAAAGAGCAAAGGACCTAAAGGGATCATAACCCCATCCCCATGAAATATCTAATAGTGTCCTAGCAGAATGACCAAAAAGCCACAATTCCACAGACATACATCACACCACCACCTCCATCACTTTTGCTGGGCAAAAATACATTCTGATTAAATGGAGATGAGAAAGCAGTGATAAAGCATTAAAAAAAATCAACCCATAAGGGAGGAACAGGGGGAAATAAATGGCAATGAACATAAGTAACAAGTTAAAAAGGTAGACCGCTGAAGAGGGAAGCCAAAGGAATCAATGTACTATCAATAAGCTGTCATAAGGCAATTTTTATACTTACTGGAAATAATAAACCAGCCACTCTAGCTTCATTACTAGATGAAAATACTAAAATCATTAAAAGCTGTGTTCAAAAGGCAGAAATGTTCAATAGCTATTCCAGAGTAGGGAACATGTCATCATTCTGGCGCACCAGCTCTTCCCAGGCAGGCCTTTCCTCCCAGGCAGCCCGGCACTCCTTCCAGGCAACAGCTTGCTCCTGGCACTCTGCCTTGAATCCCTGAATGAGGTACTGCAGGCGGACCATCTGCTCTCTCATTAGCACCTTCCACATTTTTTTCTACCTCAGGTAAATGGAGTTAGAAATGAGGGATCTGCCAAGCTTCCAGCTTTTCCAGCTGTGAAGAAAAGTTACAAGGGCATTCATCATAGGAGACACTCTGTATGAAGCCTAGCCCTAATCTCTAAGCCAACATTGAAGGTCTTAGTTCAGACAATGGCAATGTGCTTCGAGCAAGGCCATATGTTGCCTAGAAAGCAAGCACTTCCCAGCAGGTGCACACACATCTCAGGAGAGCATTGCAACACCCACGGCCTGGGTACAAGTAGGTATGGGAAGGTGCCAACCACGGGGAGGGGAGGACTGGCATCCAGCTGCTCGTAGTAGTGGCAGGTCTGAGGTGCCACCCCAGAGTGTCCGCTTTGCTCCCTGGCCTTGTGGTAGTCCTGGCTCAGCTCTTTTATTTTGCCTGCACTGCTTCAAGCTCCTGCTGTGTCCTTTCTCAGCCACGCTGGCAGCAATAGTGCTGTAGCTATCAGCATTGTATTTCTTGGTGCAGAGTTCCTGGAAGTTGGACTCCTCCCCCCCACACCTTGATGAGATCTCCACACCAGTCCAGGCTGGAGTGCCTCTGCGTCCCTGAGCAGTGGAAGCCATGGAAGCAGTAGAAGTTCTGGCAGCCATCTGAGGGTCCGAGGGAGTACTGGGGGCACTTATAACTCACTGTATCCTGGTCACTCACACAGGGCTCATGCATCCTGGTTGCTCACATGGACAAGCCCGTCTCTTCTTCCCAGGACTTTTAGAGCTCTGCAGGAAGAGCAGAGCAGTGGAGACACCTGGTGTGGCTAGAGCGATCAGAGCTGACAGCTGTGAGAGGCTTCCAGTGGCCAATAAGTTTGAATTAGCAGCACCAAAGCATCCATTATTTTGAAATTACTATTTTGAAATTAGCATTATTCCTGATGAAAAGCAGGAGTATAGAGTTCAATTTCCGTGGCCCGTTATTTCAAAATAACTCATGATAGTGTGGATGCTCCACTTATAAATTTGACCTTGTGAGTGTGTGTGTGTGTGTGTGTGTGTGTGTGTGTGCGCGCGCGCGCACACGGGCGGGCGGCAGGTTATTTCAGAATAAAGTTCTAGTGTAGACCAGGGCCAAAAGACTATGAATCTATATTTACTGTTAATTGAAAATAACTCTTAATACACTAAATAACTCAATGCTAAATACGAAATGGGAAGCAGGGCTAGGTAAAGGCTGATGTTTGCAATGGAGTTGAAAAGTTTTATATACAACATTAACATTGGTAGTCTGGAATATTGGCTTTATGTTTTTATTATTAGAAATTGAAAAACAAATCCTTCTGCTTGTCATGCTTTCTTTCTCATCTTAGTGGCTTATTGGAAAATTTTATTTAATCAGAAAAAAAAAGTTTTGGCAAACTGATGTTAATATAAAACAGATCAACTTTTTATTTTCTGTATACATTTCTGGAAACTGGTCATGCTCTGAAAAAAACTCTACCCATTTCAACTGGTGTAAATTGGAACTACCTAAAGGTGACTCTGGATTTTAAGTGGCTGTAGCTGAAATTAGAATATGCCTCTTTGAGTCTCATTTGTTTCCAACTCTCAGGAAACAAATGCGTTGGCATTTTTTTTGAAAAAATGATATCTACTGTTTGTGAATGCAGTGAATGATTAAC